AAGAATAACTGCACCTTAGGTGGTTAAAGTTTTGACAAAGTTCTTCACTACCTTTGGTTTACCGAAAGTAGTCCAGACAGACCAAAGAACTAACTTTCTGTCTAAACTTTTCAAGCAGGTCATGCAGACTCTGGGGATTAAGCATGTTGTGTCAAGTGCATACCATCCTGAGTCTCAAGGAGCATTAGAGCGCTGGTATCAGACACTCAAGGCAACGTTGCAGAAATACTGCTTGGATACTGAAAAAGAGTGGGATGAGGGAGTACCCCTGATGGTGTTTGCCATGCACGAAGCTAAGCAAGAATCCCTTGGGTTTAGCCCAAATGAACTAGTGTTTGGTCATTCTGTTCGGAGACCTTTGAAGTTGTTGAAAGAATAGTTCTTGTCAACAGACCCTGTTGTGAAAACTAATGTTCTGGATTATGTTTCACAGTTCAGAGAGCGCCTCCATAAGGCCAGGTTGGCAGCTGCAGAAGCCCTCTCCCCTGCTCAGGGGAAGATGAAGAGTTGGTATGATAAGAAAGCCGTTCCTTGATCTTTCAATCCAGGTGACAAGGTTTTGGTTCTTCTACCAACTGCTAGCTCTGCATTGTCTGCCCGCTTCTGTGGACCATACCAGGTGGATAAGAAAGTAAATGATACTGACTATGTGATTAAAACACCAGACAGGAAGCATAAAACACGCTTGTGCCATCTCAATATGCTCAAATCTTTTCATTCTAGAGCTGATTCTTTCTGTGGCCCTGCAGATAAGTCTGTGGCATCTCCGTCAGAGCAAATCTCATCTCCAGAAACTCTCCTGTTGAACTCTTTTTCAGGACTGAGGTAGAGTTCAGATGAAGATGGGCTCAAACTTTGTGAGGCCAGCTACCAGAATGCTTAATTCTGAGGTACTGTCCCAGTTGTCTACATATCTGTCTCACTTGACCCGTGAGCAACAGTTAGACATTGAAAGGCTCGTCAACATTCATTTAAAACTCTTTGGGCTTACGTAACACCACTGACAAACCTGTGCAGCCCGAAGGTACCATTCATTTGGAGTCCTGAGTGTCAACATGCTTTTGAATGTGCAAAAGGTCTTCTGTCGAGTTCACCTGTTCTTGTTGCTCCAGACTTTTCTAAACCTTTCAAGCTTGAAGTGGATGCCAGTGAGGTGGGGGCTGGAGCTGTTCTTCTTCAAGACGATAGACAAGGAGTGAGTCATCCTGTGTGCTTCTTTGGCAAGAAGTTCGATGCTCATCAAAGACGGCACTCGACAATTGAAAAGGAGACACTGGCCATGCTTCTGGCTCTTCACCATTTTGATGTGTATGTGGGATCTACTTCCCAACCTGTAGAGGTCTTCACTGATCACAGTCCTCTCGTGTTCCCCTCTTGTATGTATAACAACAATCAACGATTGATGAGGTGGACTTTAATTTCACAAAACTACAACATTGAAATAAAGCATAGGAGAGGATGTGAAAATATTGTGGCCGATGCCCTCTCAAGAATGTGATGGTGTAAGGTTAACAAACTTATACGTTTGTTTTTCTGGGTGGGGGTGTTACATCCCCCAGGAGGATGTCTCTTCTCCCTAGTAACTTTGTTTTGTCTGGGCTCCACCTCCTCTGTCCTGATTGGATGCTGCTCAGAGTCTGGCTAATTGTTAATCAGCAGAGCACTACTTAAGGCCTGTGGAGCTGTGCTTCTGTGCTCTCTGGCCATTTTGGTTGCCATACTGGTACAGGCTTGCATGCCTTTGTGATGTGTATGTGCATTGTTTCATGTTCAGACTGCTTGTAGGGGAGAGCTGCCTTTTTTTTTTTTGACATCCCGTTTTCTCCTGTTTGTGTTGTTAGGTAGGTTATGGTTATAGGTTGTGTATTGTTTTCTTTGGAGTTAGGTAAGTTTCTTTCATTTTTACATCAGGGATGTTTTGTTTGTTATGTTGGCCTTGGCTCTCCCTGAAGTTATACCTCAGTCTGAACCCAAATCTCATCACCAGCATTAAATACACCTTTTAAAGTTACCATCTTGGCTCCTCCTTCACTATCCACCTTTATGTTCGTCCCTTCAACCCCCTAGACTAGCCAGGGGACGTAACAGTCGTGCAGGGCTCTAGAGTGCAACCAATTTGATGCGTCGGGTCCGCTCTGTGTTTGCATCTTTATGCGCTGATTCTGAGCTGCAGGTTTTGTCTCTCTCCAACCAAAATTCACAGAGCCAACAGCAAAGGAAGCAGCAAACTACGCTTCACATTTGATCAATGTCGTCATGAATTCCCTCTTAGTTTTGCTGTTTTGCTTCCACCACGATAAAAATCACACTTCCTGCACAGCTCTCTCTCTCTGTACTTCAAGAACAGCTTCCCGTCTCTGTTTTCTGCATTATTCATTCGCTTATTACCCACCAGTCTACCGTTGTTTACAGCGCTGTCGGCTGCTGTCTTTTTCTTTTCACTTAAATGACCTCGGACAAGAAAGTATTTTTTTCTGTTGTTCAATACTGAAGAAATGTAAACTTTTTAAAATTATGCAGAACATTGCAGAATATTTTTAAGGTTATCTGCTATGAAAAGTCAGGCCAGAAAAAGCTCCTTCATGTTTTTCTGTGTTTTATTCTCAGTTACCTTCACACAAAGGCCTCTGCTGTGATGTTCACAATTCTGATGAAGTCTCACATGTATCAGTACTGATAAATGATCAGAATTATAATAACTGAAGTGAAACACTCATAAGTGGGAGGACAAGAGGAGCCTCGCCTGGCAGAGCTGCGACGTGACGCCCATCATGCCCAAAACTGCCTGAATGAAAAGAAAGGCAGAAAAGAGGGGAAACAGAGCACCGTCCTGCATAATGCTGCATTAACAATGTACAAGACCATAACACACCAGCGGGGAGTGACAGAGGTCACGCGAGTGACAGAGGGAAAGGCCCTGGCGGCGGCAGAAGGGGCACTCGAAGTCAAAAGCCAAACCGCCAAGATGCATGTATCACCTGCGGCTGGCACGGACGCTGGCACAAGAACTGCCCTGACCGAGACCAGACCCAAGGTGGACAACGCGATGACCAGCAGCAGACTGAGGGGAGGGGGGCAGGACTCCAGGAGACGCTTCAGGCTGTCTGTGTGTGTGCATGCTGACACAATGAAGAATGCTTTGCTAAAAAGTGCTCATGCTGATACACAGAACAACACACACACTGTTGCAAGAAGCCATTGAACATCTCGAAGGCATTTCATGCCAGGTCAGGCTAGATTCTCATTCCCATCCTCAAAGACCCCACACCCCCTCAACACACTGTTCACACTTCTGCCCTCAAAACGAAGGTTCAGACGTGTGAAATCCAGACCCAACAGCTCCTTCTTCCCCACTACCATCAGACGCTGGAACAGCTGACCGATTTTAACAGTAATCATTTTTGCACATCAGGTCATCTCACATATCAAACCAGCATGTTAAGCTCATAGCTCTTTGCACATAAATCTGTTTAACACTTCAATTTTATTTATTCATGCTATCTGTATTTTATCTTATTTGTACATAGTAACCAGTATCAGTGTGTGGACAGCACAGAAAGAATTTAATTGTACAGAGAAATGTTTTTTCTTTGTGCACATGACAATAAACGCTTTGAATCTTGAACTTGACCGACAACAACGATCTCTCCTAAAGCGATGTGTATACTTAGCTGTGGAGGCCGCTACAAATGTCTGATTTATGTGCTCGAGTCAATGGACTGTTTCCACAGGACTGTGGAAGCGCTGGTATGGCTTCTGTCCTGTGGGGACAGGCAGGAACACTTTGTGTGTTTGAAACTTTTCCCACATCGCTGACATCAGTGTGGCTTCTCTCCAGTGTGGATAAGCAGGCGTCTCTCATCGTGACTTTAACCCCTTGAACACATTACTCACGTCGATCTGGCTTTTCCCATCCAGTGACAGATTGATCTTCACTACTTTACTAGAATAAGCTGTCTGCTTACCTGTCCTGGTACAACCACACAACAGGGTCCACTGTGAGCTGTCGTTTCGTTTAGCATTTCACACAAAGCCTACAATTCACACTAGCAACATACTTTTACTTTAATGGTCTGGATGTGTCTCATGTTTTAAACTTTCTGCATATTCTGTTGTTTTAATTTCGGCGTACCTGCTTGAGAGGAATGAAATACACACAAAACACATGAAATCAAATGTGAGTTTTAGTCCAATTTATTTGTTTAATTATCACATCACTAATTAACAAGTAATCACAATAAATTTTTTTCCAAACCGAAAAATAAAATTCAAATTATGAAAAACACACACACACGCAAAAAACAAAAACAAGGAGGTTCTTCAAATGACAGAGTAAGTCTACCTAACACATCCCATAGTTTTTCAGCATGCTCTGCAGGTACAGTAGGTGTTCGTTAGCTAGTGTTACACTTGCATGTCAGGTGTGAGTGTGGCAGCGTTCGATGAAGCACTACGAGGCTCCTTGGACAGATTTCAGAGGAGCTTTTATTAAATAAGCCAAAATGTTAGCTACGGTTCATTTTCTCAGCCTCAAATAAGAACGTTTTAGGGTCTCTGCCCTCTGAGTGCCGTAACAGAGCGGCTAATAGGCTTTGATATGCAGAATGTCCAAATGACAGGCCTGTATGTGGACCTATCTGCCCACTGTTATGCAGTGGCATGTGATTCAGGTGCATTAGCTTCATTCCCATTTAGCTTTATTCTTTTATTATATGAACCTGCAGAGGTCACTGTATGCTTACAGAAATGTTTCTCATCTCTTAGGACTGGGCTTGCAAGCATAATTTCATAGTGTGCAGACATACATGTGCGTGCACTATACATTTTGTTAAAAAGGCTGCAGTTAATTAAATAATTAAGCATATATACGTTTCCTGTTCAATGTTTCTAAATCGAGCTGCTGCCACAACTCCAAATAAAATCAGCTGCAATGATATTTGAAAGACTTGAAGAAGTGCTGCACTGGGAGTCGCAATTCTGGGCGAGATGCAGTCTGTAAAAGGGGCTGTGACAAATTTGATATTTTACACCCTCCAATCAGACAAGCACGCCCCCACAGAGCTACAGGAGTGCATACGTTGTGTCTTTACTGCACTTATATCTCAAAAGACATTCTTTACTTCGGTGGCCCCTTTCAATAAAAACAGGTAGACCTTTTTATTTTTGCATTTCTTAAAAACAGCCATAATAGTTATGATGCTCCTTTAAGGGTACTTGGAAAACTCCCCACCAACCAACCCTGCTTGGTATCTACTTTGGTTACTTCGGATATTTTAGGGGCCATGAAGAGGACTACAGAGCACATCTGTACACCTGTGTACTGGTAAGTAGAAACTCTGGGAGAAAAGCAAAGCTAGAAGAAGTTGGGACAGGCACAAGGAAGCTTTTTGCTAGAAGACAGCTGCTGCGGCGCAAACAAAGCAATTCAACTGCTTGATGACAGCTTTTATTAATGCGCCACCATCTGCATGTGAAACATTCCCAAAGACAATTCCAAAGACATTGGTTGACTTCCCGTCCCTGTACTTCTGTTAAAAATTAGCAATGACTACATCAATTAACAGCTGAAGAAGAAGAGAGAGGGCATGGGCATTCACACTACTGCAAAAGCTCACTCAGAATGAAGGATCACTTATTCCTCATTATTTCCACTCCATAAGTCAACCCTCGCTGATACACTCAAGCTTTAAGGTGCTAATTAATGGCATCAGAGCTTTTCTACAAATCACTGATTTTACTGTCAGCTTGCACTGAAAACCTCTGTGTTTCTGTAGTTGGATGCTATTGCTAGGAAGAGCCTAATGAAGCTGAATTTGCATTTTGCTTTTTGGGAATTTTGCTACATTTGACAAAAACAATGACTTTGCAAACACAGACTGGAAACAACTGTGTGAGTAGTTCAAACGTAAGTACTGTTCTTCAGAAAACTGTCGGGTATACCTCAAACATTTTGGCAGTTACACGATGAGTTTCACCTCGCGGCGTCACAATGTTAGCTTAGATTATTGTGGCCAAAAGGATTAACAGCACTATTTCTTATTGTGATATCAACAGAGAAGTACAAACAAACCTCTCATGCTAGTGAGGTAACATTTTCAAACATGGTAGCTACTGCTAGCTACCAGAAGCTTGTTAGCTTCTTTCAACGCATTGTTTTGGTTTTATAATTTGGAACTTTGCTGTTTTACTTCATTGTCATGAACCCTGTTTTCAGACACAACAGCAGACAGCTGTTTGCAGTTTTAAAAAAAGCACCAGATGGGAGGCAAGTACAGTTAGCAGCTGAGTGGTGATAAAAGCTAGCCGTTAACTGTAGCATGTAGCAGCTAAAGAGTTGGTTGAGTCGGAGATAAAAAGAAAATGCTGTTCTTTTATTAAGGTAAGATGTATTACATGGACTGAAAAGGGCATGCTACGTTTGCTAACACGTTCCCCATCCTAACTTTATGAGATAATGTTTTGATCTATCATATTTTCATTTGCCAGTCAGTTAGATGTATGGTATCAGTTTCAGATGATACCCAGCCCTTGTTATATTACTTTAACGACTGCTGACAGAATCAGTTTGACGAAGCCAAAAGAGCAAACAAACAAACAAAAGAAACCCTCTTTAAATCCTGACAGTGGCTGACCTGTGTGTGTGTTTGAGCCACGGAGTTGGTGCATACAAATCTGTGGTCAGCTGTGAAATTCAATCATGATTTTAAAAAGGGGAAACAAAGATTACAAACTGGTTCTTCCTCTCTGTTTCCTTTAAAACATAAATCAGCTAATCTCGACACTAATTGACCAAACCACAACACTTTCATAATGGACATCAGCCTTTAACCTAGAGTCATATTATCTGGCCATGCATTACAAAGGCAACATTTGATTACATTGCTACAATAGAAGAGGATAAAGCCACATCGTCCCCGCTGCTGTTCCAACAGGACACAGGAGTGTCAGCTGAAGCTTTAGCCAAATAACATGCTACCATGATCCTCACACACCTGAATGGGACAAGAAGCACTATCAGGAAAGGGTCACTTACAGGATTTCCTTTTAACAGCAGCACCAGGTTTCTCCTGGCATTTCCTTTCACTCCCTCTGGGCAGTTTTAGGTCAGAGCCTGGGTCAGCCTCATTCGCTGTACTTCAAAATGACAGGAGGCACATACGATACACACAGCTCCTTCGACTTCAGACATATTTCATATTTCCTCATCCACATTTGGGCTGCAGACTGAACTTCATCTTCCTCTATTACGTTTCAGAAACGTTCAGGTTACAGGCTTCTTGCTATTTTGCCATTAATAAAAAAACAACCCTTTTCACGCTTCTAGCCACGCCTGCTTTTTCAACATCCTCTCCCCCTCTGAATCTATTTCGTCACTGTGTGTCTTGGTTTAGAAAAACCTGTGCGTGTTTCCAAGATTTTCTGATGAGACAAAAAAAAACGACTGCCCGTTGTATTGCTTATGCAGGAAGACACTATAAATAAATACAACTTTGTTTTAAAATCAATGAAGGAGGAGGAAAGGAAAAAAAGAAAGACGCAAGAAATAAGATGAGCAGAACACCGAAGCTCATTTTTACACGATTTGTGTCACTCAAACACATCATCACAAACACAGAGAATAAAGAGTTAAACAGCCTACATGTTGTCTAGCTTTATTTTGTTTGTCAGCGCGTTTATGGTAAGTGTTGCTGAAGAGAGAGAAGAGGAGACGGTGAGATGAGTTACTATGATGTCACTGAAGCAGAGAGTAAGTGGATGCAGGTAACAAACAGCCCCTAGAGTCACAAAGGAAAGAGAAGCCAGGGTTTCCATGCTGTTTAGTAGATGAGTGATTTGCTGCTGACGCTGCTGTGGGTGCGGACGATACTGGGGGAGGGTGATGGAGAACACAGTCTGCCACAAGGCTGTGGGGTGAAGAGGATCCAAGCAAAAACCCAGAATGTGAGAAAACCTTACTGTGCCCTCGTTTCCCCTTCGCCTCTCACCAGGCACAGTCTACACAGTCACTCAGCCAAATCTAGCAGGGCGAGGGTGACGGCGCACAATCAGTGTGAGAGGAAAAGCATGATGGAACTACTCGATGGGTCAAAATGTAGCAATAGCAGGTTAGAGATATTAAGAGGGGTCACAAAGGTCACGATCCCTTTAAGGAGCTGCTGCGGTCGACCCCCTGGACCTCCACCTGGAGCTGCAGCGAGGAGGGGGCGGAGGGGGAGCTGACGCAGCCGACCGAAGCCAGCGACTCGATGAGGGAGACACTACGAGTTGTCGGTTGCTGTTGTTGTTGTTGGTAGTTGGTGTGTAGGGAATAAGAGGAGCCGTGTGGGTGGGGTCTGTTACTGTTGTTGTCCTGTGGGGCTAGCCAGGTGACGATGTCAGCGCCGTGGTCCGTGCGAGAGCGAGCATTCTCGCGGAAGTTGAGCTTGAAAGACTCAATCTAAAGCAGAAACGTTTGGGGGGAGGAGGGGAGGACAGGTAGGGAGAGGGGGAGAGAACAAGAACAAAGAAGGAAAACAGGAAAGACAAGGTGGGAGAGGGGGAGGCGGTGACGTTGAGGGGGGGAGTTGAAATGAGGAGGGCAGAGGGACAGCAGAATTAGATGCCTGTAAGATAAAAGATGGTGATGTGATCAGGAGCTTTGGACTGCAGACAGCACAACAATCAGACACTCGGCTCAGCAGGACAAGTGCATCAAACCTTTCCTGCCTCCTCCTGGTTCACTATGTGGGGATCCCACCCAAACACATACTTACTTGTCTCTGGGATGTGTGAGTCCAGAGCCTGGGGCTCCTGGAGGCCCTCACTATGACAGGGAGCCCCGTCCTTCAACCCATTCTTCAGGGCAGCGGGGCCCCCAGCCTGCCCTGGCTCGGAGCCTGGGGCCGGGGCAGGGCTGCCACTCAGGGGGTCCCCACTCCCCTCTGTTGCCTCCTGTGCCCCCTCAGCCTAGAAACACATAGCAGGATGTGTCAATTGGTGGGGATGGAACAACCTGGCTCCAAATCTCCATCATCATGGCTGAGACGTAAAACTATAAGTTTTAATTATTATTATAACTTTTTTGTGAACAGCAACATAAAGTTCTTCAAACAGCAGTTAATGAGTAATTTATTTACACATTTTTGGATGACAAGATTTGATTAATGCAGCTAGAAGGATGTGGAGCCAGACTGAGGTGAGGTATGGAAGCTCTGAAAGGTTCAGCGAGAAAAACGACTTAAAAACTGTCTTACGACTTAAAAACAGGTGGAAATAACAGATTTTGCCAGGATATTCTGTAAAATAGTCCTCAGACTTGTCCAGGTTAGCATCTTCAGTGAAGGATCAGCACTGGTGATGAGAACTGGGTCTCCCCAGCAGGTGACTTATTTTCAGATGAAGCGTCCAAAAGGGAATCAATTCAGGAGTGGAACCAGAAGTGTGCTCGTCCTTTCCCCAAAGATTCACCAGGTTACGAACCTGAAATTGTCCCTGATGGTCAGACTGTCAGTGAGGACTCCACTGCAGTGTCCTGAGTTAATGTGTGCAAACAGCTTTAGGAATGATCTCGGCAAAATCCTTGTTCCACCTGTTCCCCAGTGCTGCACTCTGAGGTGAAGCTACTGGATCAGTAATGGAAAGTGGATCCTTTCCCCTTTGGTTGGGAACTCAGAGCTTTCATAGTGGAAAAGAGATGGAAATACAAAAGACCCAAAAAACAACAACTTAAGAATACAATATTACAAATAACATCTGAGCATGCCCAATGAATGCAGTGATAGAAATATAACTGAAAGTCAAACTCATCACCGAACAAAGCTGATGTAATGTGAAGGACACGTCTCTACAAAGTGCCAACATTAGCTTCTCCCAGTAAAATCCACTTTAAAACCCTTCTCCTCACACACAAGTTCTTTAATAACAAGGTTAAAGGTCAACCCAACAGAGCGTTTCACTCTCACACTGCAGCCTTAGTCGTGGGTCCTACAGTTTTTGAAGTCGAGCTCTCAGCTTTCCTCTTCTGCTCCCAGTTTGGATCCATGAGCAGACTGTTGCTGACTGCTGATTTGGAGCTGCATAATAAAACTGAATTGAATTGAACATTATTCTATTTTGGACGAATTTAATGTCACTGTAACAATTTCTCCAAAAGCAAAAATCAAAACCTGTCAGAATGAACCAAAGAGGGCTGAACAGCTGGGAACACACTGAGAAATGAGCCAGGAAACAGTTTCCCTTCCACGGAACGACCACAGGCAAGACGCCTAAGAGACTGTGTGTGTGTGTGTGTGTGTGTGTGTGTGTGTG